AGTACAGATGACTCAATTGCCGTTTGATACATTACATATCGCATCATCTAACCAAAATAATAGGGTAGACGACTAATTAGTTTAGAATTTCCGTCTGATAGATTATTTAAAAACATTAGACACGTATTTTTTATTTTCTCACAGAAACGAATAGTTTCGAAGATATATTGATTTGAAATGTCGCGTGACGTCACTTCTCAGTACATTTTATACTAAGAAATGACGTTTTAGCCCCCACTCCTAAACTTTGATTCGTTTTATCTAAGTATTGTTTTATTATACGACAAAATAAAAAAATACGTATCTAATATATTTTCATTACCTAACTTACGGACTAATTATATTTTTAATTTTCATACCCTGTCATCATCCCCATTGTCGAACCTTGACGCTTTCGATCTTTTTTCTCCCAATTTAATTTAATAACATAACATAACATCACACCTTTTATCCCCGAAGGGGTAGGCAGAGGTGCACATTAGCCACTGTGCAATGTAACACCCACTTTTCACTATTTATGTTATAAATAGGGGGTGAGCCTATTGCCATATACCGGGCGCAATTCTAGACTCCGTGCTACTACTGAGTTTTTTTTAAAACCCAGTAATTCCTTGCCCGACCCTGGAATCGAACCCGAGACCTCTTGCCAGGCAGTCGCACTTGCGACCACTCGGCCAATGAGGCAGTCAGCAAGCAGTTCACTTTAAACTGTCAAACACCTAGCGGTCACCGGTGACCGCAACCTATTGTTATTTAACTCGTCGAGTACCGGTTTTATAGACACAATTAAAGAACAATAGGTCGCGGTCACCGGTGACCGCTTGGTGTTTGACAGTTTAATTGTGTCTATAAATACGGTACTCAACGAGTTAATTGTGTCTATAATGACGGTACTCAAAGGGTTAATAATTCATGAACTATATCTGATTGCATCCGGAACCTTCTTTAAATCTTTAACCACGTTCCACCTTTACCTACGAACCTATAACATAGGGAACTCCTTTACTTTATAAAAATGGACTAGATGTATTATAATTAAAAAACTGTATGACAAGGGCACGGACCTAGAGTCCGTGGAGAAATAATCTTTAATATTAAAAAAAAAAAAAAAAAAACATAGGGAACTCTTCCTAAAGAGAAACGCCTGCTAAGATCCTGAAGGCGAAGTTTATTGCTGAGCAGACGTTCACAGCTGAACGAGTCACGAGCCACGTACTGTAAGGTACAGCTTTTATTAAAAAGGAAACACCAGCCCATGCTCCCGGCTCGCTGAGCACTCAAAGAATAACTTTGTATCATTAATTTTGTTTGAATATTAAAATATATTTGTTATCGTGTTTTTATTGCTTAGACGGTTGCTTGTCTGGGGTTGGTTCGGTGTTTCCTGTCTCTTTGGCTAATTGGTATAAATAAAACTATGTAACTAGAGAATTGTATTGTAACCTATGGAGTTTCCTGCTCGTTCTTCTCCATAGGAACCTACACCTTGGAATGAGCAAATAGAATTACTTTTTTTTTTGTTAACGTTCTAAAGTATCTTTCTGGTCTAATTGAAATAAATGATTTTGATTTTGACTTGACTTGACTTTAAAATACAATTTGAAAATCATTTTTTTGTGTGGTAAGTCTAACTAAATGTTTAAGCTGTTACGTCCATCCACGATATTTGTCATTACCCAAACGACTAAGCAAAGAAAAAGTACATCTTTTCGCCATCGACCCTCACGACAGCATATGCATCTCCACCATATAGATGGTTGGCAGGCTACAACTGCACGCAGTGTGCGCTTCTCACGTTGCTTTCTGCCTGGCACAGCAAAACTGTGGAATGATCTGTCGTCGGCGGTATTTCCGAACCGATACGACCTTCAAACCTTCAAGAAAAGAGCGTATTCCTTTTTAAAAGGCCGGCAACGCACCTGTGACTCTTCTGGTGTTGACTGGGCGACGCTGATCGCTTACCATCAGGTGATCCGTCTGCTCGTTTGCCTCCTATTCCATAAAAAAGTACTAAAAGCAAAGATACCATATTGTATTATATTGTTCATGTACAAGAAGTGAATCTACCATCCTATCCTAAATGTGTCCTCAATAATACTATAAAAATCTATGTGACACAAATCTTTTACACCACACCAAAGATGGCGTTGACACTCCCATACTACATAACAACTCTAAGACCTAAGAACATGGGAACTATCGCACCTGTAACGGAAAAGGTAGTAAGCAGTTACTTAAGTACATGTTGAAAAGGTTTCCTTCACCTGCCATCTTAGTTTAAGCAGCTTATAATATTTACACAGACATGAGGCTTTATTTTTAATGTTTCGGGAAGCAACGCGTCCCCCCTGCACCCCTGCCTACTCCCGTAAAGGTCGTCGACCTGATGCTGCAGACGGAGAATGTTTTGTCTAGATTTAAGGGACTTTAAACTTAAAATGTGCATTAGTTATTGTTCGTCTGGGTTTGATTTTGCTAGGTTTTCGGTGGTAGGGGTGAATGTGAGGATTTTGTGCTTGGGAGAGGTGATTTATGGATTAGTTACGTTTTAGTTACATTATAGAGGTAATTTGTGATTTTTTTAATGAGAATATAGCGAATAGATAGTCTCATTTTAGTAGTGTAAAGCTAAGTTATTAACAGCTTTATTCATTGCTTATTTGGTGTAAATATCATAAACTGTAAAGAACGTAGTGCATCTTAAACTGTCAAACACCGCGAGGACACCGGTGACCGCAACCTATTGTTCTTTAATTGTGTCTATACTGACGGTACTCAAAGGATTAAATTCAATGTCTATACAAGCACCTATTATTGAATTTCCATATATTTATTTAAAATTATCTATAAATTACATTTTTAAATACTACTTCAAAATAAAAAACAACATTTAAAAATAAAAAAAGTCGGAGTCGACCAGTAGCGAGAGCATGGTCCAAGCTACCGGTGGTTAGGGCTCCAGAGACAGAAACCTCACGATACGTGCCGATTCTAGGAGAACTGCCTCCTGTATCAGACCCTTGATCCATCCACCTGACGCCAGCCTCCTGAGATGGATTATTGATTTTTTTATTACTTTGACCTCTCAATCAGATATATAACAAAAAAGAAACAGCTTAATCAATCTAGCCATTCTCAAATTATAGTCATTCGTACATACATCTATCAAATCTTATAACAAATCTTATACAAGTATCTTCTACCTGTCTATTTCTATCTCAACCACGCTCCTAGTACCTACACATTTTCATTCATAAGCAAAAAACAGCTTGTATGCCATTTACTCTCATTAACCGATGCTAACAAACTCAACACTACCAGTGCTACTTGCGTCATAGCATACGTCAAACCGTACTTATTTTTAAACCACATTTTATAATACAAACCTATTTTGTATTTATAGGCTGAATGGTGACGTGCCTTTGCCTCATAGTGTCAGTACCCCTTGCTTTTTTTTGTGTCGAACGTGACTTTGAAATCTTGTCGATGGTTTATTGGTTTGGTGTTCGAGGTTTGGTAATAAAAAAAATGTTGATTTAATATCAATAAGTATCACATTTCATCATCGTATTTTATGCACTAAAACGTCAACTGCTGAGCATAGGCATACTCTAATAACTTCCAGGTATAGTACCTACTGCCTACTCTTTAGGGACATAATAGATGTTATGTGTAAATCCCTGGAAGGGTAGGCAGAAGTATAAAAAGGTTAGTGGAACCTGTTGCGAATATTTTATTTATTATTGAAAATTATATAAACTAAAAACCTTAACAATAGTTTCCGGATCTTGCGATGTTTGACCACCTTACTTAAGATTCCTTTCTATAACAATTGAGACTTAGAAACGAGTAGAAAACTTCACTCAATCAACCATATTTACATTAGGTATTTGTCGTTAATAAATGCGTTTTTGATGTACATACATGATAGGGTCGATGCCTATTTTTTTTATTGTTCGTCTGGTAGATTATTTTAAATTATTAGACACGTATGTTTTATTTTCTTACAGAAACGAATACTTTCGACGATATATTGATTTGAAATGTCGAGAGACGTCACTTCTATGTACATTTTATATGTAGAAATGACGTTTTAGCCCCCACTCGTAAACTTTGATTCGTTTTAAAATAAAAAAATAAAAAAATACGTGTCTAATATTTTTTACTAATTAGATTTTTAAATTTCCATACCCTGTCATCATCCCAATTAAAAGAAAATGATTTTAATTTTGATTTACTCGACAAACGCACTTGTTCCATTCGACCAACGAGTCAGTTGGACAATGAAAGGTTTTATTTCAAAGGCAGTGCTATCAGTTTGTAGGCAAACCTGTAAAGCAAGTCCTGTGTCTGATTATTACTGTCCACTTGTGTGGGTGGACTTTGTGCTATTGTGATAGTTTGGTGTGCTTAATATAGGTACTGTCGATAGGATTCTCTTCTGGAACTGTTTGGTTTCTTTTGCTATTGAACCTGCTTGGAAGAATTTGCAAGAAAATTGGACTGCCTCATCGGCGACGAGTGGATCGGGCAAAGTATTACTGGGCTTAAAAAAAAAACTCAGTAGTTGCACGGAGTCTAGAATTGTGCCCGGTATATGGCAATAGGCTCACCCCCTATTACATGGGACTCATAACATAAATATTGAAAAGTGGGTGTTACTTCTGTGTGCACGTCTGCCTACTCCACCGGGGATAAAAGGCGTGATGTTATGTTGAAATAACTGTCACCGAAATTAAATCAAATTTAAATGAATTGTGTAATCAAAATAAATATCTACAATTGATAATTTTTGTGATTTTTAAAATTTTTCAAATCGAAGTATGACTCTATTTATCTTCATCGAGTTCATTACATTTTTAGTTACAGTGCTCAAGGTGTTTGTTTGTGGTGCTTATAATACAGTCTTGTGAGGTTGATTTACCAATCATCCGATATTTCTATGTGTGTGTATGTCTATAATGTGGTTTTAAATAATTGTTTTTCTTTTGTTTCTATAGGAGAAGAACTCATTCTTAAACTACAACGTGTCGTGTATACTGACGCTGCCACCCTACCAGAGACAGGGCTACGGCAGACTGCTCATAGACTTTAGTAAGTAACCTTCATTTTTTTAAACATTGCCTCACACTAGGATTTTCTCCTGAGTCGTGGGTGCGTTTACAAACATACAAGTTCACATACACATCGCCGAAACAACAATTTGTAGACCACACAAAGTGTTATTCCGTGCGGGAATCGAACCCGCGACACGTTGCACGGCAGCCGATTACCCAGCCACCGCACCAACCGTGCAGTCTATAATATATGTTTTTAAGATGCACTATTATATTGCCAGCGAGTCATAATTGAGTAAGTGGGCGAGTCCCTATTATAAATCAGCAGATCTGAACAACAGAATACATCTAAAACAACAAAGAAAAATAACATCATCAACGCACCCCTAACACCGACATCTCATTATAATTGCTGCCATAGCTCAAAAATATCCCATTAAAGTGACACCACATTAACTTGCTGTTGCCAACCCTGGCCAGACGGACATAATTCACAAGGGCTTAACCTTTAATAACGCAGAAAGTCATACAAATTGCCCTCAACGACGCGCGTGGAATAGTTCATTGCGAATGTCAATGTCACCGGTGGCAATGGCCGTTGTAACATGGCAACAGACTATTGCTTTATATGCCTATTTGGCAATAGTTGGAACGATGCCATTTTCTTTCAGTTTGTAATGAAAATAGGCATGTCATGTTGTTACTGTAATGATGGGTCGCACCCCTAGTAAACAGTAAACACGGCTGCCAGACGTTATTGAATTGTGCTCAACAATAGGGGTGACCGTTCCGTACCCGTACCCGTACCCGTAGCGTGCTCGCGCCGTGCTCGTAGCGTGCTATACAGCCGTGTCAACACAGCCGATGCGTAATTCTTACAAATCACAAACGTATAACACCTGTGCGGTCAACGTGATAAACCCTCGCAACTGCGGGAGCTGCGGGTTTGTTTTGCCCCCTACGGGCGAGGGGGCGTCGCGACGCCGCGGCCGTCGACCCGACCCCGATCGATGCACTGCAGTATGGATCGGTCTGCCGTCTAGACTCACCCCCCTCGAGTCTAGCCAGGGGACGGGCCGACGAGCCCGCCGTGAGACGTAAATAGGGTTGCCATATGTAACATAACTAACCTAGGATAAGCTGCTTTTGTATAGCCGTTTTTTGGCTGTTTTCAACCAAATGTTTGATGTTATTCTGTTTGTTTTGGGTTTAGACTGTTACAAAGACAAGTTTCGCTGTGTTTTATCATGGTGATCTACATTTTACTCAACTAACAACAATACATTGAGTTAAGTAATTACTCTGGAAACTAATTCATTAGCAAAGGAATAACAACAAAACAATAGTGGTGTGTAAATAAATGTATCCAGTTAACTGACAAGCAACACTCTAATTCCGACCTGGAATTCTCCAAACCTATTTCGTATTCAATTTCTCTTACAAAACAAGCCTGTGAATTGTTCAAAATGTTTCATGACGCTAACAAATAATTTGATTTGTCTGCCACTGGCAACCCTGCGGTGCCCGTCAGATTGTAGACGCGAGGTATTATGATGCGTGGCTTAATTATTGTTGTAGGTGTAACTCGCTGATTGAAGTGAAGCGAATATTAATTGGGAATATATTTTATTCATGAAGTTTGACCGATTACTTCAAACGTGTGAATTTTGAAAGTGTTAATATAGTGGTTGAATATTAATGTGAACCCAGAGGAAATTTGAATCGAATAAGTTTTGGTGTGAATTGCTAATCACGTTACAAAGTTTCACTGTGTGTTGGATGATGTTGACATGTGGATGGAAGACCGGTCAAGCGTGAGCCGGACTCGCACACTTAGGTTTCTTTACCATTCTTTACAAAAACTGCCTCGTTGGCCGAGTGGTCGCTAGTGCGACTGCCGGGCAAGGGGTCTCGGGTTCGATTGCCGAAACGGGTAAACTATTGCTGGGTTTTAAAAAAAATCTCAGTAGTAGCATGGAGTCTGGAATTGTGCCCGGTATATGGCAATAGGCTCACCCCCTATTACATGGGACTCATAACATATATAGTAAAATTGGGTGTTATGTCTCTACAAAAAATCACGGATTTTGTATGGGAGCCCCTTAAACATTTATTTATGTATAAAGTTTTATTCTTTGCTGTTACAGCTACATCATATACGATTTAAAATTTTCAATTATATATTTATTTATTTTTTGGATCTGCAACTGCTGTAAACCAGTATCTATAGCAGATACAACTTTATATTTTATATCCAACTATATATTACTAACTATTCATGGTTCATAGAAATATAGCTTGAACAAGGGAGTTATGGGACTGTATTAACTATTTTTACCTTTTAGGTCCAGACCCTTAAAATTTAGCTTACAATCTACGTTTCTGATACATATTCCCAATTTTAGACCTAAAGTACTTCTAATACAAGTAGCGAATAATTGGAATAGTGATTCAACCCAATATATCACGCACGTAAGCACCGTTTCGTGTTCAAAGCTGATGATTTGAATACGTTCGACTGAATCAAAGGGGTGCCTCACCGGGCAGTGTATGTGTGTGTGTGTGTGTGTGTGACGTGCAATACAGTTACTCATGTACTTCGTTTTAATGTTGCGCTACAAGGCTTTCCAATGATGCGTAGCGGTGTTTGATTCCGTTCTGCTGATTTATTAGAAAACACATAACATAACGTCACGACTTCTAATCCCCACATTACGGCACTTAATGCCACTGTACAATGTAACACCGCCAAATCCATTGAGTTGGGTCCAACAGGGCCGATGCCGATTCGGAGTCGCGGAGAATCTAACGGGTTACCGGGGCTCCGGCTCGACGTGCAGGAGAAAGAACGGGGTGGTTTTTAGTCAGTAAGAGTCTGACACTCCCTCCCGCCTCCCCCAGGCAGGAGCAGTCATTCGATGATTAACCCTCTTAAAAAAAATCCATTAAGTTAACGCCTATTCTTGATAGCCAATATCAATTCTAAGACGGTGCAGTTAAACAAAGACTTAGTATAATCAGGCGATCGCATTGTGAGCGGAGACGGGGTACAGGGTACAATTAAATTGGGGTGACGTCACTTCCCCGTCTGTCTGCGGTTTAGATGGTGTTATTATAAAATTAATTAAGTACTGATTGTACCTGGTAATAATAAGGATGGTTGCTGTACTCTCATAGATAATGTTTGGATAAAAATGTACACCTTTAGATTTATTTTGACTTAATCGTCAACTGGCGAGCCCGAATCTCGCGAGCGCGCGCGAGTTGGCACTTTTCGATTTTGCCTACTTTTTTTGTCGTCAACTCGCGCGTCTATATAATTTGATGTTTTAATGTATAGTCAGCTACAAAAGCGTTATAACAAATTTAATTTAGTTAGGTACTTACCTACTATAAATGTATAAGAAACTTTATGAAATTTGATTTTTAAAATAAAACAAAATATACATCGTTTTGAAATCAGTTTATTATAAATCAACAGGACAAAATATAAATTATTAGTAGTATTTCCCTTACTAATTATCAACAATATCACATTGATTTGAGAATTTGGCTTATTATCTTATTACCTAGTATGTAAATTGTAAAAAACTAAGTAAATAAAATAGAAACAACGAAAACACTCCCCTATTTAGAAAACATATAAAGAGGTGCGTTGTTTTGGCACATTTGCCCAAAGAAGCTGTTGAGAATGGTTGGTTGTATATTATGTCTCAATGTCCGAATGATAAAAATATTGTAAAATTTAATGATTATTTTGTAAGAACTTGGTTGAATGAGACTTCCATTTTCGCAGACAAATGGTCTTGTAATTTTAGCCAACACCGCACTACGAACATGGTTGAGAGCTGGCATTCTACGGTAAATAAAAAAATTAATAGCAAACCCAAAAGTATTGCACATTTTTTGACCATCTTAAAAGAAGAAGATAATTATTATCAGACTTTATACTTAAAGAAGTCTAATATAACTGCAAAATGTAAAGAAACTTGTGCTATTGACGAGCACATTACCAACACTGTTAACGAATTTATCCATGGGGTTATAAATATTGACTTATGTATCGAACTTTTGATCTTGTGATTTTTGATTTAATTTAGTATAGTCTGTTTATTTTAACGTTTGCTATAAAAATCATTTATAACAAACCATGATCTGTGATTTTATAGTCTGTGATTAGTTTTATTAGTAGGTCGTCAGTAATAACTTAGCCAATTGATGAATCTACTTATTGATAGTGTTTAGCGTTTTTTGTAAAAATCATTTACAACCATATCTGATCTGTGATTTTATAGTTTCTAAGACTCTTTCTATGATTCCTAAGATTGATTTTATTAGTGAGCAATAATAAGTTAGTTTGTTGTCAATTACTATGTTTAGCTTTACTATTTTATATTTACCAATATTCAGTACGGTTTAAATTATTTATATTATGAGATTTATCGAAAATCTCCTCACATATAATTTTGTATACGAGTATGTGAGGGGAGTGTTTTCGTTGTTTCTATTTTATTTACTTAGTTTTTTACAATTTACATACTAGATAATAAGATAATAAGCCAAATTCTCAAATCAATGTGATATTGTTGATAATTAGTAAGGGAAATACTACTAATAATTTATATTTTGTCCTGTTGATTTATAATAAACTAATTTCAAAACGATGTATATTTTGTTTTATTTTAAAAATCAAATTTCATAAAGTTTCTTATACATTTATAGTAGGTAAGTACCTAACTAAATTAAATTTGTTATAACGCTTTTGTAGCTGACTATACATTAAAACATCAAATTATATAGACGCGCGAGTTGACGACAAAAAAAGTAGGCAAAATCGAAAAGTGCCAACTCGCGCGCGCTCGCGAGATTCGCGCTCGCCAGTTGACGATTAAGTCTTTATTTTGTGTACTTTTCTATCCCGGAACGATATGCTTTCGTTTTTACCGACTTAAAAAAAAGGAGGAGGCAAGCGATGAGCTCATGGCGCTGACTTCTAACATATCAGTGAATGGGTAACCTATCAGTACTAATAATAGTTATTTTTTGCTTTTTAGTTCCGACTTTTTGTTTGTTATTAGTTTTAGATTTTTTGAAGTCGGTTTTTTAAACGCAGTTTCTATCTGATTTATTATTTCTATATTCTCATTGATTAAAGATAAGGGTTTTGCAACTTTATAACATGGTAACTTTTCTTTATCTTAATATCAAGTATTCAGTTAAATACATGCCTTATTTTGCCTATAATAAAGTAAAGTAAAATGTATTCATAATTCAAAAATACAAAATATATTTTAAATAAGTAAAATTGATTAATCTATATATATAAAAGAAAGTCGTGTTAGTTACACTATTTATAACTCAAGAATGGCTAAATCGATTAGGATGAAAATTGGTGGCGAGGTAGCTTAGAACCAGGAGACGGACATAGGATACTTTTTACCCAATTCTTTTTTTTACTTTTTACCGAAAATCAAGAACGGGAACGGGAAATGTCGGGATTGCGCGTACGAAGTCGCGGGCAGAAGCTAGTTTATAATAGAATAATAATATCATCATTATGGCAAGATAATAATCGAAATCTGACCAAAGTTTTAATCCCAATTGGAAAGCGATATACTCATCGTGTAATCTGTTTGAGTGGATACTGCCACCCCTGCGAAACAGATGTATTTTAACGAGCAGGATAGAACATTAGGGGAGGTCGCATAGGTTTTGAGTTAAAGCCTAAATTGGTGTTTCAAATTGGTGTTTATTATCTTTAAAATGTGTTTAAACCAATGTGTAGTTATTTTAATGGTATTTCAGTTTTTACCGACTTCAAAAAAAGGAGGAGGTACTATGTTCGGCTGATTGTTTCTTTTTTTTTATTTGTGAACCGATTTCCAAAATTCTTGTTTTGTTTGAAAGGGTATACTCCCGAGACGGTCCCATTTCCAAGAGGTCAGGATATTTCCATCCAGAATCTGATGATGGGATCCTAGGTAAACCGAGGGGAACTTTCGAAAATTGTAGGGGCGAGTAATGCGTCTATTACCAATGTTTTTCAATAAGAATTTTTAAACAGTACAATTTGATTATTTTTTGAGATGGACTATTTTTCAAGTCTCAATTTTACCATCAACGATTCTAAAATGTTGACGAATAAACAAGATTTTTAAAGCGTTTAGGTAACAGTTAAAAACATAATATAACATCACGCCTTTTATCTCCGAAGATGTAGGCAAAAGTGCACACAGAAGTAACACCCACTTTTCACTATTTATGTTATCAGTCCCATGTAATAGGGGGTGAGCCTATTGCCATATACCGGGCACAATTCCAAACTCCTTGCTACTACTGAGATTTTTTAAAACTCAGTAATACTTTGCCCGACCCGGGAATCGAACCCGAGACCCCCTGCCCGGCAGTCGCACTTGCGAACACTCTGCCAACGAGGCAGTCAGTTAAGAAAAATAAATAAAATCTACTTAGGCTTTTTTTTAAAGATAGAACATTGAGTCGGTGTTTGCTGACTGAAAACTGTTCAAAGCAAATCCTCTACTGCTTTTAACAGTTATATTGTACCAAACCGGTCTGTTTCAATATTTTTTTTTTCATGTATGCAGAATGTATGTATTTTTAATATTGTATAGTACTCACACCATATTAATTAATTTATTCCAAATCCTAAACGTGAGGACTTGTTATTTATTGGCTAATTGTTACCTACGCCTATTGTTATTTTTATCCATTTTTATAGGCTGTAAGTCCTCCATGAATTAAAATAAATAAACAAACATCTAACCTATATCATATTTCACCAGGTTACCTCCTAACAAAGGAGGAAGGCAAGGTTGGATCTCCGGAGACACCACTATCGGATCTTGGCCTGATCTCCTACCGCTCCTACTGGAAGGAGGCTCTCCTCAAGCGACTATGTTCAGCTCCAGGACCTACGCTATGTATCAGAGATCTTAGTAAAGACCTGGCTATTGCGTCCTCGGATATTGTGTCTACCCTGCAGGAGAGAGGACTCATGAAGTACTGGAAGGGCAAGCATATTGTGCTGAAGAAACAGGTCAGTTTTTGTTTTAATTAAAAATCGCACGTTACTCACGTGAATATACTGAGAAAAGCTTGAAGATGGCGCAGCCTACTCAGGTCAGTAGGGTGCGCGAGATCGCCGCGACCGCGCACGCTGCTCATGAGGAAGACCCCCTCTGTGGTTCGAAACTAGTAGAGCTTTTCTCAGTATATTCAAGTGAGTAACCCGCGATTTTTAGTTAATTTAATATGTCACGATAGTTATTATAAGAAAAGTTTTTGTTTTGTTTCTATTTTAACTGTTATTAATTTTGATGATCATGATATGTATTCTAAGCATATACCCGCTCTTAAATTTTAAGGAACCCCTAAAGATATGTGACATTTAACAATATTTTTGTTTTCACCCATCTATAGGGTAACCTAACCTAACAGAGATATGGTTTAGGGGTGGTTGGCAAAAAGGGCCATAAGCACCGTATTAAAATAATTTAAATTCTTAAGAGATAGTATTTTTTATATTGAATCATAAAGATTTCCGTTTTCCATAAATTTTCTAAGCGTTCTAGGTTTTCTAGTACCCATTTTCTTCATTACACTTTGAGACTGAAGACTCATTACTAACAAGAGTTCGTGTACGTTCGCCAGGAGGTGTTGGAGGAAGTGTCCCGGCGCGCGGCGCGTGCGCGCTGCGTGGAGCCGGCGTGCCTGCGCTGGTGGGGCGGCGGGCCGGCGCCGGCACGCTGACGCCGCGCCCCCGCCGCGCGCCGCCCCAACAGCAGCGCCGCGCGCGCACTGCTCTAGGACACACGCCAACATGTAAGTACTTTGTTTATGGAAACTAGGTACAACCTATCAGCAATAATACTGTAACTCATTGATGCTAAATAGGTCTTCTACCCCACTATAACTCCTTGATGTTAAGTACGGCTACCCTATTCTATACACAGGATGATTTAATATGAAGAAAATGTGTGGTTAAGAAATCATCAAATCATTTAAGTTATTGATTCTACTTTGTTTGACATAACGTTACTAGTTCATTGAAATGTTACACATGAGCTTTGCATTTGTTAGAAGACGCAATTTAATTTTTGGGACATGTATGGGGGTCTATAGACGGGTAACCTCAAGTTTGTGGGGTCGCCACACTTGTCCCCCGGCCGCTATCAGTTTACCATAGTCTCGCGTTGTTAAATTGTAACACTTGAATGGACTATACTTGTTTACATGGTCGATACCCAATATTCAAAGTCAAAATCAAAATCATTTATGTCAATTAGACCAAAAAGGCACTTTTGAACGTCAACAAAAAAAAAAAATGTATTGTCATGTGCTTTTTTGTAAGGGTTTTTCAAAACCTTATACAAGTTAATCAAAACCATGATTATTGAACATTTACCATCGCCGCACTTTAGCACTGCGTATTTTGTATTCGCAACATATTTCTAGCGAATTAAGATGGTTTCATCTACCATCACTTCACAATTCTACTAAAAATGTTCTGCACTCACACAGACAGCGGTGCCAGGGCTAAACTATCGGACAACATCGCTTCACTCGCGATATGCAACAACTATAACGTGACGTCACTCTAACCAGCCCTCCGCTACATAGGTGCATCAACATCACATGAAATTTTGACATGTAACAGTCACTCTGACTACCAAAACCTATTTTTATTCAATGAAATTATTTCCAAAATTATATAAATTTTATTTAATAATCTAAGTGATGAATTGTGTAAGCGATATTTGTTGAAATTTGTACCGTTTTACTATTGTATTTGTGTCTAAAATGAATTATTATTTAGTTTTATATAATTGTTATTGAGGCTCGGTTTCACAATCAAGTAGTAAAATGTAAAAAATTGAATGAAATTCGTAATAATATTCGTAATGATCTGTCAGTAATTAAGATTTTTGGAGATTAGTGAAACTGGCTCTAATTGTTATGGTATTAAAGGTTAAAATGGATTGGAAGTACATTAGTCAATTATACCTTTAAAATATTTTTATCGAACGGACTCGCGGGTAAAAGCTAGTTTTTAAATAATTAAACTTAAATTGCTTTTGTCATGACAGGACTGTGAACACTAGTCGCATATGTTTATGTATGCTGCCAGGTTTATATAGAATGTACTTATTATTTTAACCTAATCGAATAAAAAAGAACATTCTGTATATTTATTTTAAGTCTGGTAACACATTGTTGATGTTGCCACTATAAAAAATCATGAATGTATTTTTTAGTATTTGTTTCAAAGATTTCTCAATAACAATGAAATTATGAATGTATTAACTGTATCAGTTTTTTTAAATTAATTTTTATTTTATCCATTGACGAATTGTTCCTACATGGCGCACAATACGACAATTTTTGTCCAAAATGTTGCCTGCATAATATTCTAAAATAGTTTTAATGTAGATTTATTATTTTACAATAAAATGATATGACAAACAAATCAATTCCATTTTTAAATATTGATCGAATTTTATTTACATATGAATAACATTTTTTATCAATTTTAATGAACAATTAAATAGAATAATGGTGTTTTTTCAGAAAGAAGGAAATGTTTTTAATAGGAAAATTTTGTAAATAGAATATAATGAAGGAGTTTTATAGGTAACTTGTAAATAAATTAGTGATATTTCCATGATTTAAATTTATTTCAATAATTTAATAATGACAATTTAAATTTATAATCATTCAAGTAGTTATTATTACACCTTGGTATCTTGACATGTCTTCTTGTAGTCACATAGATTTTGTAATGCCAATTTATACACAGCAACAAGAAAATAAAAGCTATAAAATATTGAAAAATAACAAAAAGAAAAAATTATGAAATATAAATTAATGTAACAATAATGCAATCGTTTGCAAACTACAATCACCAGATTCCCTCTTAATAGCTCTTGACTCATATCACATAAGATGTCTTGTCAAACATGACAAAATAACAAAAAAAAATCCAATTTCTGAATTCAGAGGTATGATCAAGTCTTATAGAAAATAACGTTTTGTATTATAACTTTCGGCTTCGTCAAGTGACTACCAACCATACTTTTATTTTTGAAATAAGGGGTCATCCATAAATTATGACACACGAATTCCATGATTTTTCACCACGAGCGCGACGTCACATTTTGCTGAATTACGTATGTATAAAAATTATTGAATGAAAACAGCGGTTCCGAAATCGGTTTTATTTCTATTGAAATTACTTTAAAAAAATATTAATACCAAATCAAAGGAAATAAAAAATATTAATACAATTATTTCGTGTTTTATAATAGTTTTTGAAATGTGATATCACAAAGTTCAGGATCCCTCCCTCCCCCTTGTCACTCAATGTCACCCCTCCCTACCCCTTAACGTGTGACGTAATTTATAGACGGCCCCTAAATAATAATATAATATAAAGAGCAATAAATACGAGTTTTCTACTTTTTCACAAGCAAAGACAAATGTTGTCATATTTTTGTTATGAAGTTAGTATAGCACTTATTCGATACGTAATACAGTCTATTTCTTAACGACAAACATAGTTTCCTTTAAAAGAAGTGTTTCCTCACTAGATGTCGCTAGTGTGGTATAAGTCTCTTGTTTTTATGTATAATGTTTTTTTTTGAGAAACCAGAGAGCAAGTTTATTTTCAATGCGGTAAACAATGAGATTATGCTTAATATTTAATTTTAAATAAATTGTTTTAATAATGTATATTTTGAATAGGGTAGTAGACAGTGTATAATAATCAAAAATGTAATTAGTCCGTCAGTTAGATAATGACAAAATATTAGACACGTATTTTTTTATTTTGTCGTATAAGAAAACAATACCTACATAAAACTGATGTAGTAAGTCGTGACGTCACACGATATTTCAAATCAATATATCGTCGAAAGTATTTAATTTTGTAAGAAAAGAAAAAATACGTGTCAAATGTTTTAAAATAATCTACCAGACGGACATTAAAATTAAATTTAGTCTACTACCCTATTATGGTACGATCCCTGCGATTTACTTAAGAATTATTATTTTGTGAGCTTAAGTTATAATTTGTATGAATGTTTTTATATTGAATTGAATTGTACAAAATTAATTATGAATTATTGAATATTATGTAAAGGTTGTACATAATTTTAAAACAATAAACCTTTAGTTACTTTCAATTGGCTTTATTTTAAATCTCCTTGTATTTTTATACCTTATCATGATATTATTAAATCCAAATGTTTTGAACTAAGATCGATTTATGAGCATAAATAAATGAATTGATGGATCACCCTGATGGTAAGCAATCGACGTCGCCCTAACACCTTTTTTCTTCTCACGCGATGGAAATCCTCCTGAACTTCCCACGTCGACACGAGGGGGCGTGCCGGACTCTTACCGGCTAAAACCACCGCGGTGTTCCTTCACTGCCTGTGTCGCCCTGACACCTGGAACACCAGAGGCGTAACAAGTGCGCTACCAGCCTTTTGGGAATTAGTATAAGGATTTTTGGGGATTCGGGGATTGGGAAGAAAGTGTGAGTGAAGTTAACCCCACCCACCCACACGATGAAACAACGCTAGTGTTGTTTCACGTCGGTTTTCTGTGAGGCTGTGGTATCACTCCGGTCGAACCGGCCCATTCGTGGCGAAGTTTCTGTTAAAAACTTAAATTGATCCATGGATTTTACATCAAGGGTGGTTATTCATTTCCAGGCTTAGGTTGAGTCAAATCTCAAAAATCTACGCCTTGAAGCATCGTCCTAGTATTGTGAAGAAAAAAACTGTCGGAAAGAACACAAAATACTTAGATTGTAATTTGGCTTGATGTTGATACTTATGCATTTCTATCATTTCGACACGTGAAAAATCATTAAAATTCCATTACGTTTTGGAAAAATAAAGTCCCTTAAAACTTCCATACACTACAGAACTTGTTTCTCTTATGATTTCAAGCGTAAATCATTTTATCATGTCTCATTATCCACATAAACGGCGGCCATTATCACATTAATTGTTTGCTGTGACGTCACTGGCCAATGAACTCCAAGCCCCAAGGTCTTGCGTTTTGAACTACTTTTTTTATTTACATACAAATACATATTTCTTTTAATCCTGACCTTGTTTGAAGTTTGGTGTTTGAAACGTGGTTCTGTGACGCGGGTGCGTTGCGAAAATCAGTGCCAGTAGCCAAATAAATTGGTATCTAGAGAAACGTTGCTTCGTACTTGTGCTGAGTTTTTATCCTGTTTCGTGAGTGCGTTAAGACACACATTTATTTATTTTTTTATTTATTTATTTATTAAAGTCACAACGGTTGAAAACAAAAACCAATTAAAGTAACTGGACACATTAATCAAATAAACGATGAAATAATAAAACTAGAACAAAACATACACAATGAACCAGAAGAGTAAAACCTATTAAAAAAAATGGTAGCATTCATAAGTTCCTCTCGCAGTACTTACATGTTAATCAGTTTCGTACATGTTAATAATAGGTACACAACGCACATCATTCTCAGATCTATCAACAATTTGTGGAAACACACAAAAATAGATTTAATAACTAATAATTTATTCTTCTATAAACTACGTTTTAAAAAGCCCAACTTATGTTATACCTCCTCTTTTTTTGAAGTGGGGATACTAAAACCTTGTCCTAAATGCTACAAACCGCATCAAAATCGGTTGAACCAATAGCGAGATATTCTCGCAATACAACTGAATTTTCAACCTCCAAAAAATT